CCCCGAGGTGGGGGAGACATAATTATGGCATGTATGGTCATTGTAATTGACGGCAAAAAACAACGGAATTACACGAAATAATAAAATCGAGGCACATGTTTACTGACGTAGTACCACAGGTTTATGTAGGCGTAGTAAACAGGTTTATTGAGCGCGCAATATTCAAAGACGGAAAAACTCTCGTCTCAAATCAACAGTGAACTGATGATATCGTCTCCCGCGAATAAAGATATACAACGAGGAAGTGAAATTGCTCAAGCAAATTATCAGAAGAAGACCTTCAAAGCTGCAATCGGTGAAATTCACTGGTGAGTTTATCATAAATGCACCAGTTGATTTTTTTTTCCAAACTGAACCGCGTGTTTATGACTCCTCAAGAAAAAAAGAAGAGTCTATAATTATTTTAATGACTTATCTTCACTTCTAAAAGCATTATTTTGTAACACAAATCGCCGACTGTAACAATAGAAATAATAATTGGTATTTCCAGCTCATTCCTAGTTACAGTTTAGATACTTAAAAAACCTTACTGGAAATATTGCGTAAACGGACATTTGTCACATATTTCGCAGGACCCGTTTTTATTTAATTCTTTGTTGTTGAAAAGGATCGATATAAAATGATAAAAAACAAAGCATTGTTGAAGATTGAGGAGACAGTTCTGCTTCCCTGCAGGCAATTATTTGCTAATGCCTTCTAAAAGAAGATAGAATCTAGTTTAAAATATGTTTTGAAAAATGCATGGTAGCAAGTTTTTTTTTTATCCCTAGACAGATTCAACACCCTAGTATGCAGACAGTTCACTACTTAGCAATTTTCCTTATATTAGAAAAAAAGTTTTTTCATAAAGAGACAATATTTTTATATCACCATTAATTTATGTAGTTTTATAATGGAATATGATCAACAAGGAAAATAGCACATGACTGACTGTATTTTTAAATCCAAAAATTTAATTGGCACAGAAATCATGTTTTCTGTTTGTTTTGTTGTTTTTTTTTGTTGTTCTTTTTGTTTTTTTTTTGGGTGTGTGTTGGATTTAATCTCTAGATTTCTGTGCATTTATAGGAATTATTGGACCACTAAACAGTTGTGTGGGCCACCAAAATTTATATGTCAGTGGTCCAGGATACGACCTAGCTAAAATAGCTTGTCTTTGACACTGCCTAAGCTTATACTAGAGAATCTGAATCTTGGTCCATTAAAGTAAATCCCACATGATGATTTGCAAAGAACATAAATAGCATAAACAGTGTCATACTTGTAGCACTGACCTGAATACAATTGAATTCTCAGGCATTGAATTTAAGATTTTTTGAATTTTTGAATTTACCTGGCGCCGTATTCTAGTTTACAATTTATTCTTCTATATATTTAACTAAATTCTCTAAAATTTACACTGGTCATGGTAATCTGTTACTGTATTAGTAAGGGCAGGATGTGAAAAAGTGGTTGAACATGCTTGAACAAGATATTTTGAGTATTAAAACATTACTTAGAACATGCAATTGAAAAAATTATAATGATACGGTTTGTTGATCCAGGATATTTTAAAGATATTGGTCAATTGTTTAGATGTTAAGAAGTTTCTTGAATTGTGATTAATATTATAGGTCCTGCTGACAGTGTCCAATGTGAAAGTTCATCGAAAAGGCAGGAACTGCTAAGGTTGTGTGGTTGAGGCTAGATCTGACGGGTAGCAATATAGTTGAGGTTACAAGGACCCAATTTTACAATTTGTCTACAGTAGAACCAGATATTTTTTCATGGCAAAAATTCCCGAATCTTAATTCAGATCTAATTTCATGAGGATTAAAATTCGCATATTAGCTTTTCCTCTTAAATATTAATGAAAACTGATTACCCTGATACTGGGTATAAAAATAGGTTTGAAGGGTACTATGGAAACGCATTTTTTCGTAACATTTGTTGTGATGTTTAAAACTGTCATTTCAAACACTAGACGTTATATTAATTGTTGTTTTTTTTTTTTGGTATCTTTCCAAACTAGATGGGAGGATGAGTGCAGAAAGCCTGTGTAGAAAGATTCGGCGCATGGAGGAGGGAATTACTGCTTTAGAGAGTCAGAATACAAAAGTGGAGGACCCCGAATTATAAAGCTGTGGAACATCCTAAGTGATACTCAAGAAGTCTTGGTTACATTAGCAAAGAACTATCTTTCACTGTGGAGGAACTTAGAACCACTCTAGGACTGGAAAGAATGACGCAATAAGTGCAAGGATTCCCCGAGACCACCAACTTGAACCCTTGAAACTCAGCAATTTAAAGACTAAGTGAGGAGAACAAACCGGGTGTATCAAAAAGAAAGTATTTAATAACAAACTAGAGACTTACAAGGTCATCAGAAGGAAATAAATCACAAAATAAGTGAAACATTGGAAACTAAAAAAACTAATTTTCAAGTTCTTGTTTTTTCACTTTTGAAAATCAGCCAGCTGTATTGAAGAAATATTTCTTAGTTCTTGTTAAACAAAGATGTGTAGTTTTTAAAATTTGTCATGTAGTTTTTACATGTTTTGTGGTTTACTTTTGAAAATAATATAGCTCTAGAGCTTTATGTTGAGTACATATTGTTTAGACTTGATCAGTCCGCAAATTGGATTTGGTATCATCTGTCTGCTCTTTATTTGCATTTTTCATGAATGTGAAATAATGTAAATGTAGTTTAGGACTGTTCATGAACTGTCAGTACTTGACCTGTTCTTGCACTTTTTGTGTTTTATTAAAGACAATATTATTAACTTTAGGAATCTTATTGGGAGTAAGAGTGCATCTTTAACAAGGAAATATTATAAACAAAGGCACGAAGAGAAATAACCAAAATAACTGTTTAGTTTAAGGAATATTCTATCATCTAAAAAAATGTGGTTGAGAATCATACTTACTATTATATATATAAAGCCAACAAATGTTATATAAATATTTGCTATTATATCTGCTCTTTGGAATGATTTTGTATTTTCAAACTAATTCAACTACTATATCCAGTGATTTTTATGCCCGAAGGTGGGCATATTAAAATCGCACTGTCTGTCCGGCTCTGTATTTGGTAGTATTTCTACCAAAATTTACCGCTGGTATTTCAGTGGAATTCCACTGGAAACAGCGGTAAACTTTTAATGGAATACCACAAAGTTTCACCGCTGGTTCTTTCAGTGGATTCCACTGGAAAAACCAGCGGTAAACTTTTAGTGGAATACCACAAATTTTACCGCTGGTATTTCAGTGGAATTCCACTGAAATACATCGGTAAAATTTTTGTTGAATTCCACTGGTATTCCCAGTGGAATTCCACTGAAATACCAGCGGTAAAAATTTAGTGGTATTCCACTAAAAGTTTTACCCGCTGGTATTTTCAGTGGAATTCCACTGAAATACCAGCGGTAAACTTTTAGTGGAATACCACCAAAATTTACCGCTGGTATTCCACTGAAAATCCACTGGAATACCAGCGGTATTCCAGTGGTATTCCACTGATTTTTTTACTGGGGTTGCGTTTATTGAACGCCGCCTTTCCTTGTTGATCTTGTTTATCATATTTTAAAGCTTGCTAAAGGTAATAGTGACAGTTCATCCATGTGCCTGTGTCTGAAATAATGCATGGAAGGACAGCCAGAGGTTTTCATTTCAAAGCAAAACATGTGATCTTAACAATAATTGTCAGTTATGCTTCAATTTCATCATTTTGTCCAAGAGCTCCAAAATATACAACCAAGACTTATTAGGTAGTAGCTTCACATCAAAGTCTATAATTACGTGATATGATGTGAACAAAGTTTTTGAAGAATATGGTCTGAGGTTATAAAGAAATCCTCTAAGCTCAAATTCAGATCTCAGGTATTTGATCAGTCAGAAACTGCCATAGAAATTGTTCAATGACCAATGTCCTGAGATTTGAGACAGAACTCAGAAAAAGTTTGATACCTCAAGGCCAGGTCTTGTTTAAAAATGCCCACAAGAAGTTATTGCTTAACATTTTAAGCTGCAGTTTTACAGCAAACTCAGACGTTTTATGAATTATTCTGGAAGTAAAACCGCTGTTTTATGACACTAACTTAGCACAGTGGTTGTAATTGTGGGAAAGTAATTATTTGTTATAATGAAAATGGTAAAGTTCCAGACAATTGAGCAAACAGCCAGTTTTCACACATACTGTGAAATTGGCATAATTATATATATACTAGTGCAATATGCAATAATACAAAAAAGCTGTTAAATATTACAACAGGTTTGAAGAAGTTTATACTATTTGTATTTATATTTTCAGAACAAGTAATTTTCATGACATGTGGATTTTACAAAAATGAAAAGATTCAGGATGTGCAAAACATCTTCACGTGCAAAATGCCTTAAAACTTTTGAAATCTTAAAATTTGAAAATATCCACTTATACAGTACTGATGGGAACCTGTTATACCCGGGCATGTCAATTATGTACAAAATCCTCTTCAACCTCTACTAACATGCTCCATTAACCAATTAGACCAGTAATTGATATTGGCACCTACTCTCCTTTACTTGTTTTTTTGCTTCACTTCCAAACAAAACAAGAAACATGGCAATGCCATGAAACCAGGTTTTCAATTATCACCATTGTAGATAAATATGTTGTAATTTTTGAAATACAAATACAAGCAACAAACAATGTAACTATGTGCAATGTAAAACATGAATAATGTAGGAGGAATTTGCCACTGAAGAAGTGTTCACTATAATATTATGTTATAAGGAAAAAACAAAGTGCCATAATTAGGTCAAAAACTATCCAATCACAAAACCCCGACAATATGTGCCCAGGGTGCTTGATGACAAAGCTTCTGTGAAAGTTTGAAACAAATCCGTTGAGAAATGTAGGACGAGTTCAGCACAGAAGAATTTGTTCACTATAATTATATTGATAATTCTGTATAATGAAAAACAAAGTTACAAAGTAGACATGAAAATACATATATCATATCTTTTTTAAAATTACCTCCAAAGATGATATGACCTTTGACTGCCAAATCAAGTTAAAATCATGTAAACAGGATTTTCAATGTTAATGTCACTGTGACCTTGACCTTGGAGCCAGCCATGCGGAACATGCGTTCTGCACGTCATCTTGATGTGGTAAACATTTGTTCTGAAGTTTCATCAAAATTCTTCAAAGGGTTGAAGAGTTACAGAGCGGACAGGATTTTCAATGTTTAATGTCACTGTGACCCTTGACCTTGGAGCCAGCCATGCGGAACATGCGTTCTGCACGTCATCTTGATGTGGTAAACATTTGTCTGAAGTTTCATCAAAATTCTTCAAGGGTTGAAGAGTTACAGAGCGGACACAATTTCAAGTTAAAATCATGTAAACAGGATTTTCAATGTTAATGTCACTGTGACCTTGACCTTGGAGCCAGCCATGCGGAACATGCGTTCTGCACGTCATCTTGATGTGGTAAACATTTGTCTGAAGTTTCATCAAAATTCTTCAAAAGGGTTGAAGAGTTACAGAGCGGACAGGATTTTCAAATGTTAATGTCACTGTGACCTTGACCTTGGAGCCAGCCATGCGGCAAACATGCGTTCTGCACGTCATCTTGATGTGGTAAACATTTGTCTGAAGTTTCATCAAAATTCTTCAAAGGGTTGAAGAGTTACAGAGCGGACACAATTTCAAGTTAAAATCATGTAAACAGGATTTTCAATGTTTAATGTCACTGTGACCTTGACCTTGGAGCCAGCCATGCGGAACATGCGTTCTGCACGTCATCTTGATGTGGTAAACATTTGTCTGAAGTTTCATCAAAATTCTTCAAAGGGTTGAAGAGTTACAGAGCGGACAGGATTTTCAATGTTAATGTCACTGTGACCTTGACTTGGAGCCAGCCATGCGGAACATGCGTTCTGCACGTCATCTTGAATGTGGTAAACATTTGTCTGAAGTTTCATCAAAATTCTTCAAAGGGTTGAAGAGTTACAGAGCGGACACAATTTCAAGTTAAAATCATGTAAACAGGATTTTCAATGTTAAATGTTAATGTCACTGTGACCTTGACCTTGGAGCCAGCCATGCGGAACATGCGTTCTGCACGTCATCTTGATGTGGTAAACATTTTGTCTGAAGTTTCATCAAAATTCTTCAAAGGGTTGAAGAGTTACAGAGCGGACAGGATTTTCAATGTTAATGTCACTGTGACCTTGACCTTGGAGCCAGCCATGCGGAACATGCGTTCTGCACGTCATCTTGATGTGGTAAACATTTGTCTGAAGTTTCATCAAAATTCTTCAAAGGGTTGAAGAGTTACAGAGCGGACAACAATTTCAAGTTAAATCATGTAAACAGGATTTTCAATGTTAATGTCACTGTGACCTTGACCTTGGAGCCAGCCATGCGGAACATGCGTTCTGCACGTCCATCTTGATGTGGTAACATTTGTCTGAAGTTTCATCAAAAATTCTTCAAAGGGTTGAAGAGTTACAGAGCGGACAGGATTTTCAATGTTAATGTCACTGTGACCTTGACCTTGGAGCCAGCCATGCGGAACATGCGTTCTGCACGTCATCTTGATAGTGGTAAAACATTTGTCTGAAGTTTCATCAAAATTCTTCAAAGGGTTGAAGAGTTACAGAGCGGACACAATTTCAAGTTAAAATCATGTAAACAGGATTTTCAATGTTAATGTCATGTGACCTTGACCTTGGAGCCAGCCATGCGGAACATGCGTTCTGCACGTCATCTTGATGTGGTAAACATTTGTCTGAAGTTTCATCAAAATTCTTCAAAGGGTTGAAAGAGTTACAGAGCGGACAGGATTTTCAAATGTTAATGTCACTGTGAACCTTGACCTTGGGAGCCAGCCATGCGGAACATGCGTTCTGCACGTCATCTTGATGTGGTAAACATTTGTCTGAAGTTTCATCAAAATTTCTTCAAAGGGTTGAAGAGTTACAGAGCGGACACAATTTCAAGTTAAAATCATGTAAACAGGATTTCAATGTTAATGTCACTGTGACCTTGACCTTGGAGCCAGCCATGCGGAAACATGCGTTCTGCACGTCATCTTGATGTGGTAAACATTTGTCTGAAGTTTCATCAAAATTCTTCAAAGGGTTTGAAGAGTTTACAGAGCGGACAGGATTTTCAATGTTAATGTCACTGTGACCTTGACCTTGGAGCCAGCCATGCGGAACATGCGTTCTGCACGTCATCTTGATGTGGTAAACATTTGTCTGAAGTTTCATCAAAATTCTTCAAAGGGTTGAAGAGTTACAGAGCGGACACAATTTCGTTTGACGCCCGCCCATCCGCCCATCCGCCCATCTGCCCATCCGCCCATCCGCCCATCCGCCCGCCATACCCCAATCTAATAACCAGGATTTTCAAAATTGAAAACCTGGTTAATAAAATGCTAATATGAATGGTTCCAGTTAATTGTCATAGAATAATAAAGTTGACGACTGGCATTAGTGCTAATGTTTTTATGAACTTTTGTTTAAACATAATCCAAATATTATGAGAAATTCATAAAATGTTATGTTAACAAAAACTGTTTATATTAAGACAAGACAAATCTCTATATATTTCCTCCAAAGGTACACAACAAGACAACATGTGGAAGGAGATGCCTGTGTTAATTATGTAACAGATGAAACAAGTCTCAATTTCAAACAGGTTAGCCTAACACCTGAAACACCCCCACTTGTAAAGAAAAATGTTGTGGGACTCTCAAAGATGGCAAACTATCTGTCTCCCTTAGTTTCAAACAACAGAAACAACAAGAACAACAAAATTATTAAGTCAAGGCAAGCTGAAATAATTATGAATGAGCAATATATAATCACAAGTGTCCCCCATACACATGTAATTGATGATATGTCTTCATCTCATGATAAAGATCAAGTGGTGATCAAATGCTGAGTGGGTTTTTGAGAAAACCACTTCAAGAAAATGCTCTATCTTCACATCAGACTAGCTGGTTACTGCGGTGACTATAGTCAAAGACACACCATAGATACAAGGCAAATAGTTGTTACTACTGGCAGGCCTTATTGACCCCTCGGCAGACTTTCTGGAGACTCTTGAAAAACAGGAAGAGCGACAAATCCTATCGGAATGATGAATGAATTTTTGGTGGATCAGCAAAACATTGCAAGAGAGACACTCAGACTGCATCCTTCAAAGCTAATAATCTCATATATGGATGAAATAATACTCAAAAGTCAAGTACATGTATTAACAAGCTCAGGTCTCCACACCCAAAATATCCACACCCAAACAAGTCAACTGGCAAGTCAGTGTAAGGTTGGTTGTCATTCAATAACAACATAAAACTGCTGTTTATAGATGTATACATATCACAGGGCTGTATTTCAAGGCCGAATTTATTACAAGGCTAAGATTTATTGCTTTGTACCGTCATGTTTTCTTTCTTGTTACAAAGTGTTTCAATTTTTTAAGATGATGCACTTAACAAGTTAATGAGATGCAACATGATAATATGCATACCAATAGATGTTATGCGGAACTCGGCAGATCTGGGTTTTCCCCATCTAATCCAGGGGGTACAAACAAACTTTTGTTTAGTTTCACTGTGCACTTATGATAACAAAATTGATCAAAATGTTATTTAAATGTTTACTAGGTTGTAACTGTAATGTTTGTTTGTATCCTGGATAAGATGGGAAAAGCCTCTAGAGTACAAAACCTTCTTGACAAAATGCACATTTGAATGAGGACAAACCATAGCTTAATTTAAAATGCCAATTAATCTCATTACATAAGTTTCATGAACAGACCACATGGCATGATCAATATGACAATGCCCCTTCAAGTACTATGGGCAAGTAAATTGCCACATACGGTAGAGCACTAATGGCTAAATCCACTTCCGTAAAGACAGAGTAACAGTCAAAACCTAAATTTATGATAGATTTTTAAAAAAAAATCATAATTGAGCCAGCAAAGTCTGCACATCTTGTGTAGTCTGTCACCAGACCAAAATATTATTATTTTTAATCTATTATTTTAACTTTGAAATTGAAGATCTTCTTTTACAAAAGTAGCAGTGGGTCAGAGTTTAATCAAGTGCATATATTTTTTTTTCTATCATACTAACTGACTGCATTTTATGCATCCTGGCAACCTATTTCACATATAATAAATACAGAAAAACTGTATGTAATAATGTTAGATTTTACTACACTGTTATATAAAGTTGCAATAATTGCATAATATTAGCAATTAATATTACGGTTTTACATCATTCATTAATTAACATGTGTTTTTCATAAATTCTATTTGTTGCTTTTGGTTTGAGATCCTGTCTCAAAGATCTAAGTTTTAGTGTACCTTTGTTTAAACCCTCTCACAATCCTACCTGCAAACATGCCATTAATAGTATATTATATAACCAGACTCTGCACAGTATGACCAAACAACTTTATTATACAGGACTGTAATTTTTTTCCATTTTCAATCTCAATTGCTCTAGTTTCATGACCTGAATGTCAATATAAATTTATCTGTATGTATAATTATGTTATCTTTGTTGTTTGTTTATTTTGTTTTTTATAATTTTATCTTTTGTTTATGTCAGATACAAGCTTAATTATGTTTTGAACTGTTGAATCATAGAACCATAACTGACTATAAATAAAGTTACTGTCTTACTGTTTAAATAAGTATCAAAACCCAAAAATTTAATTTATGGTTTGCTAATAAAATATGATTTAATAATAAAATCCTTATATTTTTATCAAAAAACATTTCCCAAATTCAAAGAAAAACTCATTTTTTAAAGTTCACATATTTTGGGTCTATACCGGTACATTGCCCCAATTAAATCCCTTTTTTGTCTTGAAAAAATCTTTTCTGACTTACTTTTAAATTTGATTGAGGGAGTGATTGATAGATTAATTAGCTGTAATTTAAAGTAATTTTTTTATTGACTGAAAATTTAAAAAGTTTTTAAATCATTTATAATTTTTTTGATTCGTGATCAAAGAATTTTAAGTCGCCTTTTATTTAGGCTGCAATCATTTAAAATAGTAATGGGGGGAAGAGCATTATTTTTAAAGCAAATTTTTTAAAAAGAATTAAAAAAAAACCCAAAAAACTTAAAAAACCATAAAAATAAAAAAATTTAAAAAAGTACTATTTTATGATATTCAGAAAATAAACTTTTTTAAAAAATTTTGGGTAATTTTTCCGTTCAGTAAATTTAAAGCTTTATAATCTAATCTATTAATAATTGACGCAAAAAAACTTTTTTTAAAAAAAAAAACTGTGTGAAACATGTATTTAATTTGTTGTTTTCCCCCAAAACCCCTCTGCTTTAAAATTTGTTAAAATTTTTTGCGACATAAAAAAGTTTTTTTGATATAGCATTTGAAACATTATCGAATGTAATATTTTAAACCCCAATCAAGTTTTAAAAGGGAGACATACATTTTGAATTAAATTTTTGTAAAGGATTTTGTCCTTATGGATGCAATGTTATACTAAAACATTTAAAAATTTTTCTTTTTTTTTTTTTTTTAATCTTGTTGGTATTTTATAACCCTTCTAAAAAAAAAACAAATAAAAAAACCTAAAAATAAATTTCCCTTAAAAGATAAATTTAAACCCAAAAATTTAAAAACCCAAGTCCCAAAAGATTTTTTGGGTTTTAAACCCTGAAAGACCTCAGACTAAAGGTTTTGTTTCCCCAGCCCTTTCAAAAAAATGAGGGCTGAAATTTTAAATGATAAAAAATGTTAAAAAATTGCCAAACTGTTCTAAACAGGTTTAATTGCAAAATAGTTGATTTTGTTATCACTTAAAAGCAACAGAAAAGCAAAAAAAAAATGAAAATTTCAAAATTGTAATAAAATTTTTAAATTTTTTTCCCATAAATACAAATGCCAAATAAGTTTTTAATAGCTGAATGATTCATTTCAAGAATTAATATTTTTCATATAGGGTTTTGACAATTTGGGTTTTTTAAATTTTTTTTTCTTCTTTAAAATTCCTGGAAAATTGTCAAAAAAAAAAACCCCTCGACCCAAAATTTTTTTCCTATACAAACAAAATTTAAATTTGAACTGAGTGGAATGAAGGATAAATTAACCCTAAAATTTTAAGATTGGGCTACAAGGTTTCAAAAAGGGAAAATTTTTAAATTTTAAAAAAAAAATATTTTTTATTTTATGTCATTGTTAAAAATGGAAAAAAAGAGTACAAAACCATCTTTCAATTGACCTGCTAACTATGAAAAAGGGCTTTTTAAAAAGGTTCCTTTGTGTCTTTCCCATATACAGGGAAATACTCCCAAAACTT